CTGTGGATTGACTGCGCTCGTTCGATTCGCCTACTATTCATCCACTGCTGTGGATTGTCCCGGCCGACGACGGCATCAACAACGATTCATTTTTGGTTAGGGACACCATTGCATCGCAGAGCGAACTGCTGAAACGAATGCGATTCACCTGCGAGATTTTGCTGCCCTTCTTCATGCTGTTGGCCATGGTCTCTCTGACGTCATGTATCGTGACGCGGATCCGGTACCGGGTGAAGATGTTTCGAAAAGAACGCAAAGCAACCGGCGATCAGTACGTTTTCAGTGGCATTTGCCGCTCCTCACACGAAGCAAAACTCTCGGACGAATTCAGCAAGATGATCGTTATCACGCTGATCACCGCAGGAACGTTCATCAGGAGCCAGGTAGCATGGCTTTGCTTTGAGGCAGCGCAAATATGCGACGTCTACAAGAGAAACGCAACGCTATCCAGCACTATGGAAGAAATCCAAGCCTGGTACAGACTGCACGTTTTCCTAACTCTTACTAGCGTTCTGTGTTCCTTGTTCGAGTCGTTAGACAGAACGTCGACCTTCTACATACATATGCTCTTCAATAGGCGTGCCAGGAAACACTTTCGACTTTCTCTGAAACAGTGCGTGACCCATTATTGCGGCATCCACAATGCTAAGTTCCCCGTATTTTGACAGCACGAAACAAGTATAATCAAGCAGAATTTAAGTTTAATTCAAACTCACCCTGTACTGTCTGTATTGTTGATACGTTCAGCCTACTTTCATAAATTTCATATAAAACTTCCAGGTATATGGTCAATGCACATCATCTGATAGGTAGAAATAGAATTAGATTGCAAACCACTGTTTTAATAAAAAAAATGACAGTCTTTCTCAAGGTAAAAAGGATATAATGACATATTACTTCTGAAGTTCATTTCAATACACGCTAACAAAATAAATTTTGTTCTGTTCTTCAACTGAAGACGGTTTTAAGCCTTAAGGATTTTTAATCGTCAATCAATCGTTCATCTTATGAAAAGAAAGCCATTTTCAGGGTGACACAAAAATTTTCGACAATAAGCGCGTGGTAAAAAAGCAATATACAAGTCAGAAAGTTTCCAAACGAAACCCAGATGAACAGTCATGCTTAAGTTCAAACTTTTTCAATCCCGGACCCTAAACGTACGTTTCGCATCTTTTACAAAACTCACTCCAAAAACCAATTTTCCATTTTATGTAAGAAACTGAACCTCGCAGCTAACGGACAGAATAAGGGCGCTAAATAATAAACGTTAGGAAAACATATCGATCCATCAAAGTGAAGATAAAGGAGCGTTAAAATGCGACAGTAAAGACCGTTTAAAATATTCTTTATATTGTACTGGTGCCTGTCCCTTAGAAAGTTAGCAATTTAAACAGTAGTCATGATTTTTGATTGCACAACAACCAAAGCCTCCGTATTATAGAATCACTGCACAGCTTTTTCAACAAGTGAAAGATATGCAACAATTACAAGACTTGTATGGGCATCCGCGTAGCTGGAAATTTCTAATGCAGTTCACAACCCCCGTTTTTATTTTTCATAACTCTCAGATTATTTTCAACTATTTCTAATACATTTCAGAAATCGCTCTTCATGAAGTTTCAAAATTTATCTGTACTTGCATATCGCATTTTTACAGTAACTAATTTGAACATTGGAGGTCATACGAAAAAAAATAGCGTTAAATACCGTTTACTTACACAGAACGCAAAGATGTCGTTGTCAGTCCAGCGACTGACCAATACCGACGCTTAGGCTTATGTCTTTTAGGCCGTCTTCAAGGTTGGTTGGTAGTGAAACTTCGTGAATGTGGTTGTCGTCTGCAGCAGTCGAAAGTTTCCGAATCAGAAGGCATGCTTTCGATGCGCGCTGCTTGTTGAATAGTTTTTGGGCGGCATGGGCAATGATGCTCATCCAGTCAGCGCAGAATTCGTATTGCTTGTCACAGTTGACGTTTGCGCATGATTAGATGACTAATGCCTCGTTTATCCGCCTGTGTAGCCAATGCTTCTCTTTAATGTCGCTGCTACACTTAGACCATCAGGATGAGGTGTCCTTGATTGGCCGCATGCTGCATTCTCCCGGAGATCTTCTCACATTGTTCCTTGACTTTATTAGGGGTGAGGTTTTGTTTTCTTCCCGAGTGCTTCGTTACCATCGGTAGCTCTCACTCGTACGCGATCATCTATTTTTTTCCGGTTTCACAGGTCTTTGTTCTCTTCGTAACGGTGTTCCATGTTTATCCTACATAATATTTCCCGAAGTTTGGAAACTATATATATATATAGTATGATATGGTACAAACAAGGTTTATTATTAGTCTTCTTAGTGTTACAAACAGATTTAAAGTGGCTTCTACTGCGGTTTATGATGTAACTAAACAATTAGGATAATTATTACTGCATTAGGATAATTTGGAATGCCTTATTCTTCATCTTCCACCGCCGCTTCTCCTTTCGGGTCGCGGAGGCAGACACGTCAGGTAGAGCTTCCAACGTTCCCGATTCTGTGTCAGAGTCTGAGCTTCGGCAAAAGACAAATGGAGTCTGGAAGAGACTCCTTCCATATGTTTGCACCAGGTTAATCTTGGCCGTTCTCTGGGCCTGTTGCCGGTCGGATTTGCAAGGAACAATTGCGTAGCCTCCCTTTCTGGAGGCATTGGCAACCACGGCTAAATCATCGCAGCTGTGACTTTTCAATCTGGAGAAGCAAAGGCTGTATTCCAAGGCTCTTCCGGATGCCAGTATTCCGGACCATGTCCAGATGTGTAAGGCCAGCGACTCGTCTAAGAAAGCCCATTTCAGCAGCATGTACCCGGGTTCA